GGGGACCACCGGGAGGGTGTCCCAGCAGGGCCTGGACACCTCACCCAACACCCACCGCGGGACCCGCGCCCGTCCTGGGCTGCACCCAGAACCCTCCAGCCGCACCACAGCTCCCCAGTCACACCAGTCGGAGCGCCCGCACAGCCGCGCTTCGGTCCCGGGGCAACAGGCCACCCCTGGGCAGCGCCAGCCCTGGCAGTGCCCGCTCCGAACAGACAGACAGACAGACAGCCGCCCTCCCCTCCTGGCCCGCCGGAGGCACACCGGCCCAAGGGGCTCTGCCGCGGCTCCCCCCGCGCCCCCGGTCCCACCGAACCCCCCGGGATGCCCAGGTCGCGCACCCCTCACAACCCTCCGCGATGTGTTATCCCACCCTCGGCCCTCGACTCCCACCTGAGGCGCCTCCGGCTCTGACCTGCCCCCCCCCGGGGAAGGACCCCCGGCCGCCCCCGCCGCGCTGCCCCTCCAGGGACACCCCCGGCATTCCCGTGTCCCGCAGCCCCCACGGGCACATCCGACCCTCCGTCTGCGCCGCAGTCCCGCACCCCCGGCCCCGCACCCCCAGCTCCCCGCTCCCTCCCTGGCCCCTGGCCCCGCACAGCGCCCTCCCCGGGGCCGCGCTCACCTGAGCAGGCTGGACAGCGGGTGCCCCACACCGCCGCTCCCGCCGCCGCCGCCACCGCCGCCGCCGCCCCCCCCTGAGGAGCCGCCGCCGCCGCCTCCCCCGCCGGAGCCGCCGAAGCCGGAGCTGAGGCGCTTCCCCGAGAGCAGCTTCTCCACGGCCGGGAGGTTCCCGGTGCGCGCGGCCTCCAGCAGCTCCTGCTCCTTCCCCATGGCCGGCGCGGCCCCGCGCCCGCGACACTTCCGGGGCGGGGCCTCGGGGGGCGGGATCAGGTGGGGCGGGACCCGCGCAGGGCCCGCCCCCAGCCCCGCCCTGTCCCCTCAGGCCGCGCCCGTTTCCGGGCGGGGTTTGGGGGGGTTTCCTCCCCGCAGCGGCGGGGCTGGGGCCGCGGTGCCGCTCCAGCGCCGTGTCCCGGCTCTCTGCCCCGCGGGAGCAGCCGGGTGTGGAGCTCCGGCTCGGAGCGGGGCCGGGCCCCGCACGGGCCCCTCCGCGGCAGCGCCGTTGCCATGGCGACAGGCCTCGCCCCTCCTCGCGCTGCCCCTATCTGCGCGTCATCAAGAGGCGCGGGCTCTGCGCCGTTGCCACGGCGACAAAAAGCCACGCCCCTCACGGCGCTCTTAGTCAATCGTCATCGGAGGCGCCGCCGCGGCGCCGCTGCCATGGCGACAGGCTTCGCCCCTCACTGGCTTCCATTTAGTGCGTCATCAGGATGCGCCGTGGCTGTTCCGTTACCATGACGACAGGCCCCACCTCTCAGGGACTCGCAGTGCTGCGTCATCAGGCGGCGCCGCGGGCGCGGCCATGGCGGACCCGGCCCGGGACCCGCTCGGAGCCGCCGCGGCCGCGGAGCCGCCTCCGGGCCCGGCCCCGCCCGCGGGACACGGCGCGGGGGACGCGGCGGCCGCAGAGGGGGAGGGCGAAGGCGAGGCGGGAGAGGCCGGCGGGGGCGGCGAGCCCAAGGCGGAGGGGGCGGACGGGGAGGTGAGAGCGGGGCCGGGCGGGAGCGGGCCCGGGAGGGGCCGAGAGGCCGCAGAGCGAGCGCTGCGCTGTCCTCCAGGTGAGGAGCGCGGAGGGGGAGGCGGCGGACGGGGACGAGCCCGGGCTGCAGCCGAGCGCGGCCAGGAAGGTGAAGCTGGAGCTGAAGGAGCGGAAGGAGAAGAAGCAGAAGGTGGATGAGGACGAGATCCAGAAGATGCAGTGAGTGCCGGGGACCCGTCCCAGATCCCCCCTCTCACCCCCGAGAGCCGCCAGGGCACAGCCCAGCCCTGCCCGCCCCGGCTGGCCCGCCTTTGCACGCGGAGCTGTATTTGTGCTGTGACCGATCGTTCTTCCCCCCGCAGGATTCTGGTCTCGTCCTTCTCCGAGGAGCAGCTGAACCGGTACGAGATGTACCGTCGCTCTGCCTTCCCCAAGGCCGCCATCAAACGGGTACGACGGGCAGGGGTGTTCGGGACAGGGCTGAGGGGCCCCCCGGGACCCTCCTCGGCCACCCCGGCCCCGCGGCTCAGCCCGGTGTCCCGGCACAGCCGATCCCGAGGGATTCCCGGGCGGAGCTGCAGCTCGGGGGGGCCGGGGGCCTCTGTGGGTCAAGGTGAGGGGCTCTGACTGTCCCTGCCTCTCCCCCCAGCTCATCCAGTCCATCACAGGCACCTCGGTGTCCCAGAACGTCGTCATCGCCATGTCCGGCATCTCCAAGGTCTTCGTGGGGGAGGTGGTGGAGGAGGGTGAGTGGAGCCCGGACGGGAATTCAGGAGCTCAGGACACAAGCAGGGCTGGGGGAGGCCCCGGTCCAGTGGCAGCCCCAGCTCAGGGCAGAACAGCGAGGGCAGCCTGGGCTGTCCCAGCCCCTCTGTCCACAGCCCCCCAGAGCCCACCCAGCCCTGGGGTTAAGCACATCAGTGCTGTGTGACTGGATCCAGCACATCCACCCTGGCTGAGTGGTCCAGAGGCCGTTTGTCCTGGTCACTCCTGGGCCTCCTGTGAGGGAGGAGCTCGTGGAGCAGGGTCATTCCTGGGCATTGGCAAAGCAGGAGCTGTAAACCCTAAACACAAGCATTACCCGTTGCCTTTCCAAGTGCAGCTGAAGCAGCAGGAGAGGGGGAGGGCTCAGGTGTCCCCTCCTGTGACCTCTGTGTTTGTTGTTCAGCCCTGGACGTGTGTGAGAAGTGGGGGGAGCTGCCCCCCCTGCAGCCCAAGCACATGAGAGAGGCCGTGCGGAGGCTCAAGGCACGAGGGCAGATCCCCAACTCCAAGTACAAGAAGATCATCTTCCACTGACTGGCCCCGGAGCAGAGAGGGGCTGAAACAGCAACCTGTGGGACCCTCCCCAGCTGAGCCCCCACCTGAGGCCCCTTGGGGAGGGGTGTGAGACCTCGGGGACCACAGGGACAGTGGGCAGAGCCAGGAGCTGCTCCTGACCTGGAGCCACAGGCTCCTCTGCCTCAGCACAGCAGGGAGAGGAACATCCACGGCCTTCAGAGTATTCACCCCCCAGGGCTGTGCTTCCTGCTGGCCCAGATGTGGCTTTTTTGTACATTAAAGTTGCTCTGTGTTGGTTGGACTCGCTGTGTGCCGGGGCAGGGCAGGATGGGGCTGTGCCTCAGCCCAGCACAAGGTGCTCCTGGAGCTGCTCCCAGCCCGGGGCAGTGCTGGGGCCCTGGGGCCTCTGCAGTCACGGCTCAGCTGTGCTTCCAAAGCCAGGAAACAGCACAGTGGGGAAGACAGGGGGAGGGAGAGGGGGGAGAAGAGGCCTGAGCCTGGAAGGAGGTTAAGGAGTTTAATTTTGCTCCTGGTTCATAGAACCAATAAATGCATCAGTGGAAACAAACTGCAACAAAGTTCCAATACTGGCTAAAACTCAAATTCAAGTTCAGACTCGCACATTCGCCCCAGGCCCCGGGAGCTGCTCCTGCCCCAGAGAGGTGCTGAGGGCACGGGCTCTCCCACAGCACCTGTGGTGGGCAGGATTCCGTGGGCTCCCACCACAACAGAGGGGACAGTCCTTAAATAAGGGGCTCCACAAAGTAAACTTTGCTACTTGTGATCCACGGAGATCCCGGAGGTTTTGTCCTCCCACGCCCGTGGGTTTTGGGTTACAGTCTTTTTTACTGGGACTTCAAAGGAAACGCTTGAATTCTTCAACAAAACCCATTGACTGGAGTTGCTGGAGCAAGAAATTTGCTGTAAACAACTTGGCCCCAGCTGTGCTCAGCCTGCACACGTGGGAGGAGCTGTGGGACCCTGCAGGTGGGCACCAAGGCAGAGCAAACCCTTTGCACCCCACTCACTCCCCACCCAAACAAAACATCATGAAAATTTGAAAGAGCAGAAGAGAAACCTTCCATTTTCAAGCAATTAGCGAAGAAAAAGCAGGAACACCATTGCATTCCACCTCAGGCAAGCAGTCTCGAAGCTCCTGCTCCCCAGGGGAGAGGGAGCAGCACAAAGGTTTGGCAAAGTCCAACTTCTGCTCGGAGGCTCTGGGCAGTTCCCAGGAGTCTGTTCCAACAGCACCTGGATCCAGACAGGCTCTGTCACCTCCTGTCTTGCTCTGGGAGCTGCTCACAGCAAGTCACTCCCTGCAGAGGGGAGTGCTGAGGGCTGGGGAAGGCAGTGCCCCCGCCACCCAGTTCAGGTGCGTTTTCCTCTCGGGAACAGAGCAGGTGGCTCTGGAATGTGTCCCAGCCCGGGCAGCCCCCTTGGCCACAGACCAACAGCCCTGCTGAAGGATTTCCCCCAGGCAGGAGCTCAGTGCTGACAAATCCCCAGGGCCCTGCAGGAGCAGCTCCTTCCTCAGGGGTCACAGCTGCTCCCTCTCCCCGCCGGAATTCCAGCACACGAAGCTTTGAGGACAACGTGCACCCCAAAAATTACACAGATCATCTCATTCTGAGACTGAACCAACTTCCTTCACCCCTGTAAACTTAAACAGTGCCTTGTAAGGAATTAATTCCTTTGTTTTTCTGCATCAATAAAGCCAAATGTTGTGGGATTAAGTGAGAATGAACTGGACTAAGTCTAATACACTGTCTCCACACAAGGAATTACTGGTGGAAAAAGAAATCTGAAGGGATTTCTTTACTCTCCTGACCCTGTTCTTGAGGGGATAGTGAGCTGTATCCCCTCACTCCACAGGGGGAAATCCCTCCCTCCAGGAGCCAGCAGAGCCCTGAGCCCTCCACCACCCCTGTCCTGTCAGGTGCTGAAGTGACCACCCTCCTCCTGCCATGTCCCTTGGGGAGCAGGACTGGGCAAGAACACAACAAGGGAGGGTGAAAGAAGAAGAAACCCCAACATGGACCCTCTCTAGATGTCACCATGGAAGGTGAAGGCTGAAAGGATGAGGAGACACAGGATGTGCCTCTCTCCCCCCAACATGTGACCTTGTGTTTGCAGGCTGAGCAGTGCCTTGGCTCAGTGCAGCACTGCCAGAACTCAGCAAAGAAAACTCCTCCTCATTCCTTCCTTGTTTGTCACAGCCAGGCCTCCCTCCCTCCCTCCCTCCCTGTGCAGTCCCAGCTGGTCTCAGTCCCTGATCAGACCCATTTGGCAGCGATGTGACCAAACCTGCCCTGGTGGTGCTGGTGCTGGTCCCTGGCAGTGCCAGCACTGTCAGAGCTGGAACAGGGGGTTGTATTTCCTGATCTCCTGCAGAAGATGAGCCTTGTCCATGTTGGCTTCTGCAAGGGCCAGTTTCATGGTCTGCAGCTCCCTTTGCAACTCTGGCACTTGCTTTAGCTACAAGAGACAAACAGAAAACAAGGCAGAGTTTCCAAGGTGCACAGTGACCTGCTCAGAGGAGAACCAGAGCAGGAGCTTTTGAGGTGAATTACATAGGACACAACTCCTCTTTGTGGGAACCTCTCGATTCCTGTTTTTCGAACAAGGAACTGGACACAGTGGGAAGTTGGACCCAACCAGAAAAACAACCAAGTTTCTGAAAGGGAACGGGAAGGTTTATGCTGGGCAAGGTGCCCTCACTCCTCAGAACACCCATAAGAGGAGGCACAGGCTGCTCCCCTGGGCACTCCCTTCCTGCAGCTCACCACACCTGCCAGGGACTGCAAACACATGAAGGCCAAAGAGAATTTCCAGCCCCCTGCCAGCTCTCTCCTTGTCCAGACAGCAACAGGCAGCAATGACTCACCTGCAGCCCTTGTGCTCCTGCTGCTGGGGCTGCCAAGACAGACTCTGCTGGAGCCTTTTGCCCCTCAGGAACTGACACAGGTTTTTCCTCTTTCAGTGAGTCCTTCCCCTGGGGAGCTGGAAAGCAACAGAACACATTCAGGTGTGGACATTCACGTAAGAGGGCTCTTGCCACAAAAAAAATAATATTTTTTTTCTTCTCCTCCCCCCCCTTTTTAAGCAGGGAAACAAAATTCTCTTTTCCATTTTAAAATGAAGAAACTAGAGCAAGGGAAGAGGCAGAAAGGGGTCCTGGCTGTGTGTGCTCAAGGAAATCCCAAGTACGAATTCCCACACTAGGAAACAGAGGCAGGGACTGCTCCCACCCCGAGCCCATCCTTCCCAGCAGCAACCACTGTTCAGTTCCAGTCTCCTCCAGCACAGCCTGAGGGTGCAGAGGGACAGTACAAGCAGCCCCTGGATGTTGCTGACCTGTGAGATAGAACACACCGTCGTCCCTGCGCCTCACAACAACGTGATCCATGGCCAGGGTGATGGGGACAGGGCCCGGGGAGGTGGGGTACACCCGGGGGCTGTCATCCTGGGGAAACACAGAGCAGAGAGGAGATGAGCTGCTGTGACAGCTCTGGCCCTCTGCAAAGGATTCCCCTTGCCTGTACCCTCCTCAGGAGCAGCATTCCTGCCCAGCAGCACTGCCAGAGCTCAGCAGGGCACCCACCCACGGCTGCAGGAACGGGCCTGCACGTGAGCAGCAATCAACAGTTCCCTTGGGTTCCTCGTTCATCCCTGAGGCAGTTTTTAGAAGCAAAACCAATCTCAGGAAAACAGAAGCTCTACAGAGGCCCCTGGCAACCCCATGGGGTCCCTTCCCAAGCAGAGCCTTCCAAGTGAGCTCTGCCCCGGCTGCCGCCCCGGGAGGAATCTCTGGTTCCCCACACACTCACCTGCATGGTGATTTTGGCATCCACCACCTCTATCTCCATGGGCATCACCTCTGGAATGATCTCATCCTCGAGGAAGGGGCCCAGGCTGGTGAGGGAGGACATGCAGAGCTGTGTGTGGCAGCCCCGCAGCAGCAGCCGCAGGAGCCCGTTGGGCTCGGTGGGACCCCCGTCCAGGCGCAGGCACAGCTCGGGCTGGGCAGGGCTGGGCTCTGCAGGATCCTCCTCCACTCCCGGGGCTCCTACAGCTGGAGCAGAGAGGTGTCACTGCACAGCCAGGGCTGAGCCCACAAAGGGCATCTTGGAGAGCCCATTTCTGTCCAGCAGCCAAGCTCACAGTGACCTCAGTGTGACGTCACCTCTCACATGAAATGAATCCATGTTGGAGCTCTTTGGGGTTTGTTTACTTAGGAGTTCAGATATCTTTTTTGGGGGGTGGGGGTTGATTGTTTTTGGGGTTGGATTGGGTTTTTTTAATTCAAATTTAGCCCTGGGGAGGTACCCTAGACCAAAAGCATTTTTCTCAGAGCAGGAATAACTTCAGGGTTTCCCTAGATAGCTTTATTCACTCTTTTAATTCATTTCATACAGCCTAGCAGGAATTAAAAAAATCCCAATCAATGATTACTGAGCCCCACAGAGCCTGGCTATGTTGGCATTTGGGAGACATCTTTGAAATGCCAGATCTGAACCCTCACAGGTGAGTTGTATTCAGTCCTGACCACCCCAAACACTGAGGTCCCAGCTAATGGAATATTCCCCGACAAGGCTGCTGTAAAAGCCAGTTCTAAGAGCACAGCTGTAAAGGCAGCTGAGTCCCAGAGCAGTGTCTCACCCACGTAGCCACGCAGATACTGCCACATCCCCACGTTGTTCAGCTGCTCTGGAACCACCTTCATCACTTGTACAGCCACAGACAAATCATCCCCTCGTGCCTCGATGCCACAGTTCACCTCATTCATCTTCAACACGAGGACAGACACCTGAAACAGCCACCAAGAGCTCATTGATTACAACAAACACCTCTGTGGTTCACTTCCAGATCCACTCAGGGACAGAACCCCAGTGCCAGACTGACCAGCTGCAGGCTGGGGTCTTCACTCTGGGACGTGGAGCTGTTCACCTCGGGGGACAATCCTCCCTCATCCTCGGCCACCAGGCTCGTCCTGCTGCCTGAGTCACCGTGGGCCTGAGGAAGCTGCCTCGAGGAAAGAGGGTCCAGGCTGGGTTCTGAAATGAAGTAACAACAAAAACAACTCGATTCCACTTCTTTTTCTGGCTTTGAGAAGTCCTGATGTCAGCATCTGCCTGAATCTCATGGCCTCTCAGCCTGTACCATCCTCTGGAGAGCTCTCTCCTGCTCCTCTGACGAGTTTAAGCAATACAGAGTTGAAGTGAAAGATGTTCAGAGTACTCTATACCCAGCCAGCCCTTCCTAAACCATTCCTAAACACTCCATACCCCCCTCCACTGGCACAGTCACAGCCCCTGCTCTGCTGTGGCCTCAGGACATCACATTTATATGCAGGGTCACCCCCCCACTTATTTACACTCCTCATCTCAAAGAAACGGCACCTACGAAAGGAGGAGCCACTGGGGGGGAAACTACTGATGGCCTTCAAAAAGAAGGAGTAGGAAAGGCAATTCCACAGGAACCCCATGGAGGGGTTGCCTGTGGCCCAAAGCTGTTCATTGTGAGAGCAGAGGAGAAGCCCAGGGCCTGTACCAGAGTCTGTGAGCAGCACGAAGCCGTCGCTGCCGTCGCTGTCCAGGGACAGCCCGTCCTCGGGGCCGCTCCCGTCCACGGACGTGGCGTCAAACGAGTGCTGGGACGGGGTTCTCTTCATGGAGAAGAAACGCATCCGGCCCCCCCCCGGGGTCACTGCTCCCTCCTCTGCTTTGGGCACAGAATCCCTACAAAAAACCCAGCACAAACCAGTGATAAAGGCAGACAGCTGAGCCTGCAGGTTAAACGGACATTGGGCTGGACTCTGACCTCTTGCAAGTCAGACTTTAGTGTCCTCAGACCAGCCCCAGGAGATGAAGACTTAACTCATCTCCAACCCAAAGGACATGGGAAGAGGGGGGGCAGTTCAGTGTCTGTTCCCCCTCCTGCCCCCCGGGAGCCCGTGGTGCTCACCTGGCCGGGGGCAGGGAGAGCATCCTCTGCACGGTGGAGGTCATCCTGTCCCGGCTCAGGCTCAGAGCGTCCTTGGTGAGGGACATGGCCTCCTTGGTGAGGTCCATGGTCACGTGCAGAGCCTCCTTGGTGGCGTCCTTGGTGATGTGCAGAGCACTGGAGAGCTCCACCTCGATGTTCCTCAGTGGGATGAGCTCTGCCTGGACATCGAGGGCGGCGGCTCCGCTGCCCGAGGGCTGCGCGTCCGAGGTGGGGCTGGAAGGGAGAGCAGGGGGGCTCTGAGGTTGGCTGCTGGTCTCTGCTGGTCTTTCTGCTACCAGGGCTTCCACAGCTTCATGTGCTTCCTCTATCAAGCCCTTCTCCTCTGTGTCCTTACCACGTGGAGCTGCGCTCAGAGCCCCGTCACTCGCAGCCCTGGGGAGTGACTCTGGCAGGACACTGGCACTGGTGCTCCCGACCCCACTGTCCTCTGGGAGCTCCGAGGAGCTGCACACTCCCTTCTCTGAGCTGCTCTCTGATTTCAGCTCCTTCTCTTCGGCCACCAGCCCCTCCTTGCTGTCTGAAGGCGAGAGCTCAGACTCGATCAGGCTGGTTGTGTCCGAGTCAAGGGATCTGCCTTCCAGGACAGACCCCGGAGGAGGGTTCATGAGCAGGGCCACCTCAGCACTGGGGAACATAACTCCCACACAGGCAGACATGGGATCTAAAGGACACCCAGTCACTTCCTGGGTATCTTGGGCCAGCTGCTCCTGGAGTGTTTGCAGAACTTCCTTCATCCTGAGCAGCACCAAGTACTGGTAGTGGTTGAGCCGAACTTTGACGTGAACAGATGAGGACATGAGCACATGGATATCAGCAGAGGCTTCCAGCTCTTCACTGTCTACTCCATCATCAACTTCACAGTTGGATTCTCCCAAGACATCCATTGTCTCTGGGGCCTTGTAGATGTTCTTCAGATCCTGGTCAGTCTTTGATCTTTGACAAATGCCGTGTTCTCTGGAAAGGTTCTCGTTCTTTGAGTGGTTGCTAAAGCTGGCAGAAGGCTTGATTTTCACCTCAGAGGCAGCCAGTTCCTGTCGTTTAGATATCTGAGCTTGCCTCCACCTCTTGGGCAGGCAGGCCCAAACGGAAAGGGGAAAAGGGTCAATAAAGCTGAGGGCTCTGCCCTTGGAGCTTTCAGCCCCCTCGAAGCCCAGGGCGAGCTCAGTGAAGTTCACAGACCACAGATCCTCAGAGGCAGAGGTTTTGTGGAGCAGCTGGGGCAGGCCCGGGTGCTTCTGAGGCCTGTCCTCCACCTGGTAGGCGTGGCGCAGGAACAGGGTGTGCAGGAGGCTGAAGCTGCCCTGGGCCCGGGGGAACTCGGCGTAGCCGGAGTGGAAGAACTCGGAGCCCGCGAAGCTCCGGAAGAGGCTCTGCAGGTCCTGGCAGCTGCAGGAGGGGCCGTGCCGGGTGTTGGTGGCCGTCACCTGGGACGTGCCAATGCAGAGGGACTGCGGGCGATCCCGGTGCTCCGTGACCTTCTTATCCACGGGGATGTTGAGCTGTGTGGGGAAGAGAGACGTTGAGAGAACCTGAGCACCTGCTCTACTGCCCACAGACCAAACAGAGCACAAGTGGCAGACAGAGGGAAGTCAGAGCGTTTGTTTCCTCACTATGGACTCCAGCCACATCCTGGTCTCATGTTCCTTCCACAACAGGGAGGGAGAGAACACTGAGGGCTGGGAAAGGGAGGAAAGGAACGGTACCTTCAGGTGGCAGCCGTCCAGCCGGACATCCACGTGCTCATCACGCTTCCCTGAGTCCTCCAGCTTGTAGATGGCCTTGAACTGCTCCAAGCTGCGATAGAGATCCAGGCAGAAGAGGTTGATCCAGAGCACACTCGCTGTGTCCAGGGTGAGAATGAGGCCGTTCAGCTGCACGTACAGGTTTGGGCACGGAACTGGAACGGAACAGATCGATGAGAGCAGAAAAGGCCCCTCAGGTCTCTGCAGCTCAGTGCAGAATCTGCACTGACAGCACCAATGCAGGGCCTTCACCACCCTGGGAGACTGTTTCTGAAAGGGAGGAGCTGTGGTGCATGCAGAGAAATGGGGTGTTCCGGGTCTCCCATCAAAGCAGCTGCAGAGTACCCAGAGCACCCCACGGCCCTGCTCCAGTGCTGACCAGTAAGGCAGAACCAGGAGCTGGGCAGGCAGCAGCTGATGCAATTCCCTCCTGCACAAGGGATTTTGCAAGCACAGCTCTGCATCCACACTGTGCACAAACTTTATCCCACTTTCCCACAGGCAAAAAAAAATTTAAAATTAGGAAGGCAAACATCAGGAAACTAACAACAATGGACAGAGAATATCTAGGGTTAACACACCTAAACAACTGAGACTGATGATTCTTAAGGAAACTTATAAAAGAAGGTGCTAACCTTGGTGTATTACCTGGAAAGTCCTGATTGTCTGGGAAGTAATACTCCGTGAATTCAATATGGATTGCAGAGACCTGGTCAGGGAGTTTGAAGAATTTTCTACTACATGAAACCAAGGTGGAGGGTTTCTTACTTTGTTGCCCAGCTGTAGAAACCTGAAAGCACAACAGAATGCAGCTGTGCAGAACTCAGACATGGCAAACCCAAGTGTCCCAGTAACCCCACAGTCACCTGTATTCAATCCACCTCATTTACACATCAAACATGCGCTGCTTTCAAATAAAAATAAACATTTCTTCTACCTGCTGATATTGCCAGCTCCTTTCCTTTGAAGGAATTTAGTTCTTTATGTCTCCTGTCACTGCTAGTAAGAGCCATGACAAGCAGAATTAGGTGACATGAGCAATCAGAATGAAACCTATTACAGCTGTCTGCAGGATCTGCAGCATGTTGTAAGTCCATTGTAGTATCTGGTGCTGCAAAAAGCAAAACCAGCCCTTGGAGAGGATACAGGGCACATGGGTGTAGGGCCTGATCCAGGATAGGGATGCTCTGTCCCAGGTCAGAAAGCCTGAGGTAAGACTTATCCTCTGTCAAAAATCCACATCCTCATGGACTTCTCAAAGCTATGGGATCTTTTATGGAGGGCCTGCCTAATGCTTGGTGCAAGCTTGGGTATGAACAGAGGGCAGAAACCTGTGCTTGTGCAATTTCCTCTGAACGTGGAAACTCCCAGCAGTTCATACTCAGGTTGAAAGTTTTCCATCCCAACGGCCCCTGGGCTGCCCGGGCAGGGCTTGGCTCCTCTGGGATGACGCAGGATCTGAATGATTTACTTAAATCATATCTGATCACGTTTCTTTTTTACAAATGCCAGGGACATGCCCGGGCCCTGCTGAGCTCCCCACCTGGTGCACGTCCAGGTCGTCCACGCGCAGCAGGACGCAGCTGGAGCGCAGGCGGTGCCAGGGCGGCTGCCGCAGCCGGGGCAGGCTCCGGGGAGGGGCTCGGACCTTCTCCGGGGGGCTCCTCTGGGGGCTCGGGGGGGCATCTGTGGGGACAGACAAGCACAACCAGCAGGGTTTCAGTCACCTCCTTTGCATCAAACTCCACCCTCAGCACCGACACCCGTGTGCTTACGGAGCAGAATGAACAGCCCCAAAATTAGAAACAGATGAACGCAGCTGGGCAGGGAAAAAACCTCGGGACTTTTGAAGGAAGAACACTGTGAAAGATGAGTCTGCTCTCTGGCAAGAGAACACATTCTTCAGCCAGGTCTTAAGTACTTCATTTCATCCTTAGAAACTCACTTATGGAGAAACTCAACAATAAGCCAGGAAAGGGACCACTGCAGCCCATCCATCCTTGCTGCAGAGCCACCCCAGAATGACAGCCACTTTCCTCTGACATTATAGTTATGATTTTTAGAGTACTGTGGATTTCTGCATCAACAAATCAGCCTGCTCAACTGGGGAGGAGCACTAGAGATATTGCTGGATGGAGCAAAACTGGTACCACCTCCTGCTTCACTAGTTTTATCAAATACCATTACCTGGTTTCTTTTTGAAGGGGGAAAGTGGGTCCATTTCTTCATAAAGCTTCTCAATCTTGCTTTGAAATTCACTGACCAACTTCCTTGCCCACTGTCCCCGTGTCTCCATTGCTTCACTGTACCTCACCCAGTGCTTGCAGGCATCTCCTGCAGGAAATCAAACATCCTGCCTTTAAAAACTGAGCTTCCTTTCTTCTAGTTCTGCCTGAAGCCACAGAGCAGGACCATTCTTCAAACTCTCTTTTTATCCCCTTCCTCAAGTTGTGAGGCCACAGGCTCCTTACCTGCCCTGTGGAAAGGATAATAGTCAAAAGCCATCCTCCTGAAGGTCAGCTGGATGGCACCTCCCAGCATCCCATGCTTCACAGCACCTGTGGGAAACAGAACAAAGAAAACAGTGGTCAGCCCTGCAATCTGAGTCCTGATCCAGGAGAAATCCCAGCAGAAAGCTGCACCAAAATCTTGTCCTGGGCAAGGACACCTGAGCACAACCAGCCTGCAGTTTATATGGTAAGAACCAGATCCAGAACCCCAAATCCCAAACTGCAGAACTCCACTGCTTTCCAACCCCCTTTGAGACAGAAAAGCTCTGCCTGGGGTGGTGTTTGCCCCGCTGTGCCCTCCCCACCTGCCTCCCGGGCGTGGCTGTCGTCGCAGATGTGCAGGTCCAGGCGGGAGATGAGCAGGTGGTACGAGGACTCCTTCATGTCGTGCTTGTCAAAGTACTGCCCGATGCTGCTGGGGCTGGGGCTGCCCCCAAAGGGCTGGGCCCAGGACTGCTGGGCACTGGGAGGGGGTGGGGTCACCTGGGGGAGAGAGACAAGCTTGGTGAGAGCTCAGAGAGAGGGGAAAACAGAGAGGGGCATCATAATGCACTTAAGCAATTTGTGCCATCTTCCAGCCTGCAAGGCACCAGGTTATAGAAACTGAATTGGGATTCCCTTTCCTAGGTTTTCACGAGCAAAACTCTTTGTCTGTGGCTCTGCCAGCTGCAATTCACTTCTCTTGAAAGATGCTTTAAGACTGCTGGGCCAAAAGGGCCAAATATTCCCAATCCCCTCTATGCAATCTCACTGTACCCATGTGCACATCCCTGCTTCCCCAGAGCTCCCGACTCCAGCTGCAATATTCCTCTTCCCTTTTCCTTGACTTGGAAAAGGTATTTTATTGGCAATCAATCCCACTCCTTTGGTCACTTCATTGCCCCTCATCAGCCCACAGTCCATGTGACACTCCTGACCCCAGGGAAGCCCATGTGTTCCCATCAGGGGATACCCTGTGAGCATGGGACAGATGCCACACAAGCAGAAACTATCCCTTTTCCCTGGCAGCCCAACCTCCAAACTCATTCACCTGCACAGACTCTGGAGCCAAGCTTTTCCTCTGCTGAGCAGATTTCTCCATGGCCTCGCTCAGGGACTCAGCATATTTCATCATTGCCTTCAGCTGGGAGTCTGTCAGCACCCACAGCAGGTCATCCAGGAGAAACATCAGCTTGGAGGCCACCACGTTGCAATCTTTGGTCTGCAACAGTGAGGAGACAGGGACTTCAAAAACTGCCACCACAGACACAGAGCCTTCATAATATACACAAAAAGGGAGGCTGCTCTGAAACTGCTCTGGGATGTTATCTGCTGGATGTCCACAGCACCTCCTCTCAGGTGGAAAGTAGTCAAAGACACCTTCTCTTTAGGAGGTAAAATGCTCACTGGTTTAAAATTGGGGAAAAAAAAGAAAAGGGAGAAAAAAAAAAGGAGATAGTTTCTTTTTTTTTTAATCATCACATTTCCACTGACAGCTAAAAATCAGGCTGCCAGGCTTTCAACTCCCAGTATGGAGTTGACAGCTCTCCTTGGGGTGTTCAAACAGATTGAAAAGCTCGCTCCATCCATGATATCCTCCCCTGGGAAATAAACTGCTTTGACATTTGGGAAGGACACAGCTGTCTCTGACAGAAAACATGGAGTGACACACCAGCTTGGGCTCCACATTTCTGGAGGGAAAGAAGGGCTGCTGGGGAGTGTGGGAGGAAATATCATCACTGCACCAGGCAGTGAGACTGTGTCCTGCAGAGCATGGAGGAGACTCTCACCCTTCTCTTGAGAGAGATCTGGATCCTCCCCTGGTTGGTGATGAGTCTCAGAGGAGTGGTGACAGGATCCTGGTCACCATTGTCTGTGGCATCTGCTTCTATCCTCAGTGTCTGCCAGGTGAGCTCTTTGAACGTCAGAACCTGCCCAGGAGGAGAGAAACACTGAGATTTTCACAACTTCAAGGATTAGAAAAAAACCCACTCGGACGATGTAAAACGAAACAAGGGCACACAGAATCATTCATCACACTTCTCCTCTGTGATCCCAACACAAACCCCATTCAGAGAGCAGCCTGGGGGCCCTGAGGCTGGGGTGGTCCCAGTGGGGGCTGTGACAGGAGGGCAGGGCAGTGCTCACCTCTCCCCTCTGTGGGTCAGTGATGCGGGTCAGGCGCAGGTCGCTCTGCTGCCAGTTGGGGTTGACGCTGTAGCCTTGGAGCTGCCAGAGCTCAAAAGAAGCGTGAAAGGCCTTGGAGTGAATCTTGATGGTGATGGAATTGACGACAATAAACATCCCCTCCACGACCTTCTCAGCAAAGCCATATTCACTGCAAAGAGAAGAGCCCTCTGTGGCATCACCCGGCAGACAACAGGCCTGGCACAGGTAAGGCTCACACACAGAGGGGTAGAACCAACATCAGAGGCACTTAAACCTGAGTGCAGGGAGGTGACTCAGGGAGACCAGCAGCCCCCACAGCCCAGCAGGACGTCAGGGAGAAGCCCCAGGGCTCGGGGTCTCACCTTTGGCCAGCAGCCAGAGCGATGGGGGACTGTCCATTGGGCGGCCGAGGCTCCTCACACGTCCTCATCTCCACCTCCACCTTGTCCAGGTACTGCAGAGACACAACGGGGGAGCCTTCAACACCACAGCCAGCCTTCAACACCACAGCCAGCCTTCAACACCACAGCCAGCCT